ATACACTTAATTATACAACTTACAAACATTTTACTTCAAATATTGCAGAGAAAAAGGCCAACGAATTATACCATTCCGAATTATACAATTGCAGTGAAATACAATTTTCTCTAGCTTTATACAACAGAAGTGTATATATTGTGTTTCTGTTTTTGTATAAAACGAGAAAAATATATATATTCTTGCTATACACTTATAATTATGCATTATACATACATTTTAATTTGATTCAACTGTATGCAAAACAAATTATACAATTGCAGCGAAATAGGCCAACGAATTATACAATTTAGGCCAGTGAATTATACAATTTAGGCCACGAAATTATACAATTGTATATGTATAGCAAATTATACAGTTTTATGTTTGCTATGGAGCGCAACTATGCAAAGTTTGGTATAGCATATAAATATAAATTTTTTGTTTGCTATACGTGAAAGTTGACCTATAAATTTAGGCTTTCTTAAACAGGCTTTATTAAAGGTAATAGCCCAATTCACCAATGGGCTAGCTTTCTATACCCTATAAAAAGACAATGGATGCTAGATTAATATTCATTTGAACATGGACTCTAGTTTTTACATATTTGCCAAATAAATATTAATTTGTTTTTGCCTTAAAAGTATGTGATTTCTGTAATTTATCCTAATTTAAATTAAGAAAATTTCTTTTTCATTTTAATTAAGTTTTTAGATAGAGTTGATTGGTAAGTGACCTTTTCTCATAATCTTTTCTAATACTCTATCTATCAATTCGAAAATCAAATTAAAAGTGCAAGTGGTTAATCGAGATTATCACACCAATTATATATGTAGTGTAATTATAAAAGTAGGGTTTGGAAAAATAAGACGTATGCATACCTTATCTTAACTTGTTATTGTGCCCAAACTCCCGCACATATCTCTTTTCTGGCACATATGAGCACCTACTTTTCACATGCTCGAACTATCTCAATCTTGTTTATCTTATCTTGTCTGTTACTTATATCACTCCCACCTTCTGCAATATAACTTCACTCCTAATTATCGTTTTCTCTACTTATGCCCAGATTAGGACTGCATATTAGTCGACTCAGTTCAGTTTTAAAGTTTATCAGTTATTATTTGTGAACTAGTAAGATATCTATTATTTTATTTCGATTTATTCGTTAAGCTTTTACACAAAATTTTTCTTGATAAAAATCACTTAGAAATAAAGTAACGAACCAAGTAATCCATGCACATGAGTTTGGTTAATTATCTTGCTTAAAAGTAGAAATTGATATCATGTTATAGATACAACTAATAAATAGTAATTACCGTGAGAAGTAAAAGTAAGAAATTAAACCCTAGATAAATAACTTTATATATCAGAGTATAATTATAACTCACTAATGTACAATCGCGTTATTAATTGACTTATTAATAAAAAATCTCAAACCCAATAAATAAAAAGCAATTTTCACAATTATCAAACATAAAAATCATATTTGTCTGTTATAGCTATAGTTTGCATAATTGCGCTCCATAATAAATTTTATGTTTGCTGTGGAGCTTTTTATTTGTATAATTCTCTACAAACATCGAATTTTAGGAGTTTCTCTTGAAGCAATAACGCGTTGATCTAGTCGCCACCGGAGCCACAAAGGACTATCTAAATTACAAATTGTTCAGTTTTGTATAAATTCATATATACATATTTTGTATAATAATATCTGTATTTAATTATATAATTATAAGTGTATAGGACGAAAATTAATATATGTATTTATATTTATATATACACTTTTCTCTCGTTTTACACAAATACAAACGCATTTTATTCTTTTTATACCAAAACGTATAAAGTGGCTTATTGTTTACCGAAAACGGCTGATTGTAATTTGTAAACCGAATCAGATAGCAAAAAAAATACGAATTACAATTAAAATGAACTATGAGTATAACATTTAATTTGAATTAATAATTTGCTATTTCATATAATTTTTTCATAAATGAATAATCTATATCATTAAATCAATAATTCATTACTAATAAACCAATAACTCATTACCAATAAATTAATAACATTTTCTTTAATTACGATTATCAATTTTAATTCAATTTTAAATAATCTTGATAGCCTATAATACTCATCTAATATTCTCATCTCCGCTACCTTTATCTAACATTTCACTTTCTTTGAACTAACAAGTACTCTGGAGTCTGGCCCATACATCATATTCACCACTATGTAGAATTTAACAATGAATTATTGCTTTTGGTCCTGTCAATTCACTCAATCCGTTCTCACCTATCATCTTTTTTTTTTTTTTTTAGAATAACAAATAATATCTTATGTGTGTGAAAGGAACATTAACATTTTATAAATGTGAAAACTACTAGTATATTCATAAAATTAAAAACAAAACCTGATGACAACGTAACTATATATATTCTTTATATATATAAAACTAAAAGTGTGAAACATAATTATCTGAAAATGAAGCCTTGTGGGGCTCTTGTGTTAAAATAAATAGTGTGACCATGACTATACTTAGTTTCACAAGTAAATTAGTGTTGTAAAAAACCAAACAAAATAAAATTGTTATGAGGTTTTATTTTTTAATTAATTCCATGACTTTTGTTTACTATTAAAAATCTTTATTCATTTTTTGTGGTTCAAACACGTTATGCATAACAAGTCATAAGTCATCACCTTTTGGACTCGAAAAAGAAAGGAAGAATATAGAAAGTAGTAAGTCTTCAATTTATTGACTGACCAACTTGCAAGAATTAGAACTAATGAGTCAATTGTGGAGAACTCGTGGTTACTTCGAAATTTAATAGAAGTTTGAAATGACGATTAACAATTTTTAATAGTTCAATTGATTGATTTATTTTTAAAATTTTATTAAAGGTTAAGTTGTAGTGTTGTAATTCTTTCTCTCTACCTTAATTGAAAAAGAAAAGAGATGAGCATGAACAGATTTGAACTACGAATAAAAGAGTTTTGATTAAGTTATATATATTAGTGTAAGAAATTTTTATATCATCATGCTATATTTACTATATAAGACAGGGGAATAGTAGGCAGCAGACCGTTAACACGTCTGTTCGTGCTGTCAGTTTATTCCCCCTGTGCTCTTTA